TCCTAGACTGGAATAACTCCTTAAGAGTGCCTGCTTTAGAAGAGTAGCAAGCAGGTGGTCTGTGCCACAGGGCTGCCAAAGAGCATGTTAACAATGTAGCAGACAAGGTGATGGAGTTCCAGTGTTCAGGCCTTGGTCCTGGTGCTATTTACTAGTGTATGTGTTTATAAATAAATACACATTTCCCTTGCCAGGCACTGTAGAAAGGCCATAGATCCCTAGCTCAGAGTTCTGAGTTACACTCCAGGCGCTGAGCACCAGAACTCAGGTGTTGCAGTGCATTTGCTTTTGCTGCTAGTTCCTTCATTTATTTACTTCCTTTTTCTGGCTCAAAATCTTTAATTTATTCTATGTATTTTTTTTCCTTTTTTTGTGTTTAGATTTACTAGCAAGCCAATGATTCAAGAACAAAACAAAATTAATGTTATATAAAGGAACTTCACTAGGATGATGGTGTGAATTAAAAAATCAAGCCCAAGGGTGTCAGAACAAAACCTGTGTACACAGGAACTGTAATGTTTGCCATTTCCCTCAAAGGTCTCTTTCAAATCATCTATCTCTACTGAGGTACCAGTCCTCCAACAGCCTGGAATGAATTTGCTTATCTCATATTGGCATTCATGGCAATACCTTAACAACATTCCCGAGGCTGCACAGTTTTAAACTGAAAAATGCAAACACAAAACCCCAAAAGATAAAGGGAATCAGTGAAAAGACAAATGTCAAAAATCAGGTAAGGGAGGATTGCAGTGAGGATGGGTATTTTCCTAGTGGGTGAACCGCAAGACATGAGGCGCTCATGAAGCAGTATGTAGGGCTGAAAGTTTAATTAGTACCTTTTTCTGTCCTTTCTGAGCTTTACACAAAGCCTTTCTTTACTCAAAAGACAGAGGGGTTTCTGTGGTGCTGTATGGGAAGGACAGCCAGTGTCTCTCATTTGAGGCAAAATCTGTCGTATTTCCCAGAATAAATGGGATACCTTTCCCTGTTTCTGCTGCCTTTCCCTCAGCCTCTTGAGGAATACACCACAGGGAAATCTCACTGGATCATTAAGCTGCAGCGAGGTAACCTGTGTGAGAACAGTTTTTCTGGCATTTAGTTTGCTTTTGCCACCAGATAGGATGTGACAAAAGCCCACAACAAGACAACGCCCGATCTTCCCCAGAGCCAGCCGTAGGGGCCCTTGCCTTGAACTCCCTTTTTCTGCTGGCTTCGTTAAGCCCAGCTCGCAGGATATGCTGGAGGATCCCAGCAACGAGAAGCTCTCGGGTCCCCTTCCCTCCCTGAGCAGAGAAGCGGAGGATAACAGAGAAAGGACACCAAAAAAGGGGAGGGGGCAGTAAATCAATGATCCAAGATAACGAGGAAGACCTGCCAACGATGGTGCTAGAAGCCATGCGACACTTCTCTTAGATACTGTTTGGGTTCCCAGAATATTTTCTTTAAAAAAAAAAAAAAAGTAAGCCCCCTTCTCTTCTGGCTACTGCAGCTCTGAGAAAACCCCTATACGTGAACCGAAGGCTGTTACAGAAGACTGGACCAACACTCCAGAAAAGTACCAAGCACTCTCTGTATCTGTCGTGAACACCTTGGGGAGAGGCGAGCTCAGACACCTAGGGACAGCGTTTTAGCTGTTAAACTTCATCACTGAAGAAGGTGATTGACACCCCCGTGGGTGAACCTGTAGTGGAGGAAGGAGCCTATTAGAAATCATTAACTGCTTGACAAGCTCTCGGGATCCGGAGGAGCTGAGAGAAACGCCCGCACAAGTTCCTGACATCTGCACCAACTGCCTTGAATAATTTCACATTTGAGATGCTCGTGTAGGAGGAGGCCATGTCATAAATGAAGCATTGCCACCTTTTGCTGTGTGGGAAGCATAGAAATATGTTTCTAGGACGATCAAAGCTTAGGGCGGGGGGGTCGTGTACTCATTGCTTCTACACTTTATTTCGATTAAACTCTGGAAAAAACAAATTACGAATAACTTACCTGGTTATGCAGAAGCCACGTGCAAGGTATCTCTGAATGCACCGCTGATTCGTCCAAGTGTATTGCAGAGTCTCATGTGTATTTCGTTTAAATTATTTGATGAAATGTTTCACAAAGTGCATTTTGATGCAACCAGCTATTCGAATACCCTAATGCAAGTTGCATGATTATGTTCCTCCGAAAGGGTGCTACCGCTGTCGGCTCACTCCCTGAGCCGACTGCAATGCCTGCACTTAATTTTCTGCCCTGGCAAACCAATTAACATGGTCATTTCTATAAATTCAAATGCTTATTCTTGAAATTTATTTCTCAAAACAGCTGTCCCAGCAGAAGTTGAGCAGAGAATGCCAGCAGTCAGCAAAGAACATGATTATAAGGCGTTTGCTGAAAAAAAAAACATACAGCATGCTTGGAGATTAGTTTCTAGTACTCTCTCCTATCCATTCACAAGTAATCCGATCATTATGCACTCATGCCAGCTAACGCTGTCTTACACTACATGCACTACATGTATGCATCGAGCTACTAAAACGAAGCAAGCTCTAAAATGATTTTATTAATTTAATCAAACTGTTGTTTAAATCAAAGGTACGCTCCTGTAATATTTAACGCTAACATTTTAGACCAAATACGAATGAGACAATAATGCTTTTTCACCTCTTTGAAAGATTTGTACACAGGGTTAAACTTGCCAGTTCTCTATTTTGTTCTGCCCAACGCAAAAAGGTAATAGCACGGCTCCCCTGCCGCTTTGCCTGGCCGCTGCGTCGCAGACCCGGCGGCGGAGCTGGGCGTCCTCACGCTGCTGTCGAACAAATAGCGAGGACGCAGCGAGCCGTATTACTACCTACTCATTAGGGCTTTTCATTTTCATTAATTGTTGAAGAAGTGCCAGGTGTTGTGACAAAGTAACTGGTAGCCCGCTTGCATTTCTTAAACTACCTGGAATAAATACACCGCGAATAAAGTATTCAAAAGATGTAGGCGGAAGGGAAATAGAGAAGTACATGGGCAGATTCTGAAAGGCGAAGGGATGTCTGCAGTGCACCGAGCGGTCCCTGTGCTAGCACTGCCTGTCCAGAACGGCTGAGCTCCTGCGGACCGGGGCGGCGGGGGACACTGGCGGGGGGGGAGCAATTAATGACCCAATGGCTTGACACTGCTTTGGGGTGCCGTTCCCGGAGGACCTGGCTGGACGGAGAGGAACAGCCACGAAAAGCTGCTCCGCAGAGCCCGGCCTGCCCGGCGGAGCAAGGTCAGGTTTCGCCCCCGTGCGCAAACAGAGCACAT